AATCTTTTCATTGTGAAAAATTTGATTTTAAATATAAAATTTTGTTGAATGAACTTCTTAATTAGTTAATTATATATCATCAGATCATATTGTAAAACATTTTATGGGGGTCAATTTACATTTGTATAACTTTGTATAACTGTACGTAACTGTGCAGAATTGTGCAGAATTGTACGCAACTGTGCGCAATGTGCGGCATTATAAAATTTTTTCTGTGCGGAGTGGCGCACACTTTTTTTGGAAAGATGTGCATAAATTTATAAAACTGTGTGACACGCACAAGCCGCACAGTGAAAAATGATCACTGATACAAACTATCAAAAATTTGGTTAATAGTATACCATAATAAATTCAGGCTGTGATTGAAGTAAATAAAGACCTGACTAAATACTAATTATTTAGTACTAATATGTAGTATATTATACTTTAATAAATATATTAATAAAGATTTTTTAATAAAATTTAAAAATTCCAAGTTTTATATTAAACTAAAAAATGTCTGAAGACTTTTAATAAAGATCTGTAGAATAACTTTTTGCTTAAATTGTAAATTAATTCACTTATAAATTTCATATTTATAAATAAAAGAATAAATTTAAAACTACATAAATTACTTTACTTTTAATATTATTTTCATTTAAAATTTGTTTTAATATCTACATTAACTTACTTTTAAGTTTAGCATTTGAGTTACTAAATAATTTTAAATTCTAAAATATTATAAATTAGTGAATTAATTTAAATATAACAGATATTTATAAGATTAGAAAATATTTTAAAATTGTAAACTTCATTAAGTAAAATTAATTATTACAGTCTTTTTGATTTAAATATTAAAATTAAAATGAATCTAAGTGATAACATATAACTTAAACTAAAAATATTATTTTAAATTTGAATAATTTTAATAAAAATTAAATAAAATTATTATTTTTAATGATCAATTTTTCTATTAGAATTATATATATATATATGGAGATCCCTCAGCAAAAGGGGGGGCTCAGACAATTACATGATTTTAAAAAAATTGCAATTTAATATTATTGATTAATTTAGTAAATTATAATTATTTTATTAGTTTTTAAAGATTTTTAAAATCAGTTTTTTGCAAATTAAGATAAAATTTTGCAAGGAATTCATTAAAAGCATTAGTTTTCTTTAGCAGATTTATATTATTTATTAAATAGAATAAAAAAATATAAGAATTATAATTTATAAAATATTATATTTTTTTAATATATTAATATAAAAAAAATTTTTTTTTTTTGAAAGATTAGATCAATTAATATATAATTAAAAAAAAAAAATTCAAAAACAAAATTTTGGCTGAACCTCTCTTTTGATAGAAGGAATCCTCATATATATACTAATAAATATTATATTTTTAAAATAAATTTTAAAAGTTTATTAAAAAATTAATTATAAACTTTAGCTTAATACTTAGAATCATTAATTTATTAGAATATTACTTATTGTTAAGAATCTGAAATCTTTGTTTAAATAAATTTAATTAATAAATCTCATTATCTATATTTTTTTTATAAATATATAAAAGCTAATAATTTTCTTTTAAAATACAAATTTTTTAAAAAAAATATTTTATAATTATATAATATAATAATTTATAATATTTTAAATAAAAAACTAAATAAAATATAGATTTTATATCTAAGTACTTAAATATAATTATAAAATTAGAATTTTTTTTAAAAATTAATTATTATTACTTGATGCATTAATAAATTTAATAATATAAAATATTATATAAATCCTATACTTCATAATCTTATATAAAATTATGAGCCTATCAAAAAACTTACGTATTATAGTATTTTAATATTTTTATAATATGTAATATTTTAAAAGTTTATAATATATAAATTTTTGAAGGTTTATAATATGCAAATTTTGAAGATTTATGATATGCAAACTTTTAAAGTTTTACAATATGCAAATTTTCAAAGATTTACAATATGTAATATAATAATATCATAATAATTTACACATTAGTAATGCATAATTTATTGAAAGTATATAATATATATATATTTTATATAATTAATTTATTTATTTATTAAATAAAATATATATCGATATATTAATAATAAAAACATTTTAATATAATATAAAAATAAAAGAATATTATAATTAGTATATATTATAAATAAATGAAATTAATAGTATTAAATAATGAAAATTAGTAATATTAGTAATTTTTAACGTTAAAAAATAAAATAAAATAAATATAATTATTAATATAAAAATGTTAGTAATATAAAAGAAATAAATAAACATAGTTAGTAAAAATAGTAAAAAATTAAAGTTAGCAATAAAATTTAACATTAAAAATATAATATTTAAAGAAGTAAATATATTTAATAAAAGAAGGAAAGAGAATGAATGCAAGAAATAAAAATAATAAAAATAATGTAAACAAATAAAAGTAAATAGAAAATCTAGTATAATATAAATAAAGTCACATAATTGGTTAATTCATAAGATCACATAAAATCAAAAAGTATAAAGTAAAAAATTAGAATAAATAGATGAAAAGAAGAATAATAAAGTATTTTTTTGTATACCTTTATGAAGTTTAAAATAAATTTTACTCATAATAAAGATTTTTAATTTTCATTAATTATTATTATTAAATATATATTTAAAAAAAAAAAATTCTGCATGATAAAGTATGATTATATACCTTTAAAAATGTAATAAAATTTAGAAAAAATAATAATTGTTTAAAAATTAATCATAATAAACAAAGTAATAACTTTTAAATACTTTAATAAATACTTTTATTTGATTTTTTTTTATAAAGTGTAAAAGCTTCACAATATGATAAAATTGATTTATAATTAGTCAAAATTATAATGTATCATAAAAATTTTTTTCAACTAACAAAACTAATTTACAGTTTAAATAATTGATTTGAATATTCATAGGTAATCCTATTTTCTTAATATTAATTATTTTCAGATGCTGAAATTAGTATTTAATAATATTATTTTTTAGACAGTTATTTTTGTTTTAATTTTAATATTCATACTTGCTTGAGATTCTTTTGTGATAAATCTCAAAATAATTGCTTTCTATTTATTTCAAATATCTCTGAATTTAATAATTAGATTTATATAATTCTTTTATGATAGAATCATATATATAGACCTTTAATTTAAAAAGAAAGTTAATTATATATAATTTAGATCTACTTTTCAGCTTCTTATAGAGATAAAAATTCATTAAACATAAGATACAAATTTAAAAAAACTAATAGATATTTTAATACAAAGTCAAAAAAATAATTTTCATATTATCTTAATGGGTAATTTCAACATTAATATTTTAAGAAATTATCATTCTAAATGTTAAAAAGTATTACAAAACTTTCTTTATTAGATTATAGATCTAAGTTTTATTCATTCTTTTATATTATTCCTCTCATCCTTTCCTGCTATCTTCAGATCTACTATAAATTCTTATTATTCACATCTTGATTATATATTTGTTTTCTTCAACCTAGCATATGAACTTATCTTATTCAACATTCTAAATAACTCATCCTTCTTATATATAATAGACTATTTACCCTTACCTATTGTATTATATAAAAATAATCTCTTTAAATAATCATCAAATGTTTCTTTAAAGTAGCATAAGATTACAAAATAGACATTTTTATATAATAAAACAACTCTTTTATAATGAAACCTTTTTCAGATAAAGCTGATCTTTTATTTAAGCAGAACTTTTATATACCAATAGGATAGTATAAGATATTAATAACTTATATAATACTTTTAATACTTCTTGAGAATTTTTCTCATCTACTATTATAATTTTAGCTAAGAATCATTTTTTAAATAAATTACTATTAACTAACATAAGTTATTATATTTTCTTTTAACTTTTCTATTTAATATTATATTAAACTTCTTCATAAATTTTATTATAAATTAAAAAAATTTTCATTACCTTCTAATAATAACTCATTTGATTTTTCCCTTTTTATTACTGAATATTAAAATCTAATGAAGATTGCTCCACAATATCAAATTTTTACTGCTTCTATTAATACCTATTATAATAATAAATATATTATTCTTTACTGTATATGAATGATTTAAAGAATAATATTATAAAACCTATTTAAGTAAACAAAAAATAATCTCTAGATCTGAAAATAACAAGCGTATTCTTTAATTTTTAAAATAAAGAAATGATAATATCAGTAAGTTTTTAGCATATAGATTCCTAAAGATTCTAAAAAATCATTTAATTAGGAAGGATCTATAAGGAACCTTCTCCATCTCTGAAGAGTTCCTAAAAAAATCATTTTATGGAATCCTTAAAGGTTTAAAAGAATCCTTAAGGATATTATTTATTTGTTATCAAAAATTGCTATTCATTTATTATAAAAATATATAATAAATACATAATCTATAATATTATATAAAATTAACTTGCTTTAACTACAATATATATTTTTGTTAATCTTCTTCTGATATGTTAAATTCGCTATCATTACTCTGATAATTATTACTTTTATCATCTTTATTTTTAGAATTATTATCAGTTTTATCTTCACTATCAATTTCATTCTCAATATTGATATCATTATAATAAAATCTAAGTTTTCAATTATAATAGATTTAGTAGTATCAAATGAGATTTCTTTAGAAATAATAAGATAATCTAACAATATTATTTGATTTATATTATGTTATATACTAATTAAAAATTAAATAATGATATTATAATTATTATATATCAAATAAATATCAAGTCATTTTTGCAGAAAATTATTATTAATTGATATTTTAGATGATTCAGATTTAACACAGCTTTATATACTGTTAAAGTAAAGGCAGTATCTTTTTTAGAAGTCTTTTTTTTACCTTATACTTTATTATTTATTGTTTATATACAGACCCCACCAAAAGTTTCCGAACATTATCTTTCGGCTATTTCATACCAAATACATTATATGACTATATAATACTGCAGTCATATAATATACCTGACCTTTGTTTGCTTAAATCAAAACCAAATAAAAGCGTGTTTGGTTTGTTTATTTTGATTTTTAACCAAAATAAAATT